TGACTACAAGGCTACAAAGATTTATAATCAATTAAAAGTATTAATGAAGAAAATAGAATAAAAATTATTAAATTAGATTCAAATGATGTTTTAAATATTGCCCCAATCATTAACATCTTATGACTACATGATTAGGGTTGTTAAAACGACTATTTGTTCGTTAAGAGTTTGTATTCGACTCGCTCATGATTAGGGTTGTCAAAACGACTATTTGTTCGTTAAGAGCTTGTATTCGACTCGCTAAGCAAATGAGTTGAACACGAACACATTTTTTGAGCTCTAAATATAAATGAGTCAAACACGAGCATATACTATAATTCTACAATGCATGTTATGACTCCGTAACAGACTTCACCCAAAGAAAGAGGCGGTGGCTGATGGTGGACTCAAACTATTCCTAACATCAGTTTTGCTCTATACCAAACAACAAAAAATCAAAACTCTTCTTTTTTTTAAAGAAGATGTCCCCCTCCATAAAATCCCCACCTTCCCCACCTCCACCACCAAAACCTTCTCCTACTCCAACTCCGGCGAACTCAGCCGCTGAGTAGTGGGAGAGAAGCTGGTGAGTCGACTTGGTGTATACAGTCGGGTGATTGAGTCCAGCGGACTCGCATTGTATATGAATAAGGTCGCCGGCGGGAAGCCACTGCTGTATTCTACCGGCGTTGGGGTGACGTTCTGAGCTGCCAGCAGGTATATTTATATAAATATTTAAATTTGGGAAATTTACATACATACCCAGCAATTCTATGAATGAAAATATTTGAAGTTTGAATGTTAGAGATGTAAATACGTAAAAATTGTAGAGCATGTGAATTTTAAAAGAAAGTTTATTATGTTTTATTTAGATATAGGCGGAAAAGAAAAGCTTAAATAATTCTGATAAAATGCTTTACCATGATAAATTATAGATATTGATTTTTTAGTTTAATATAATATTATATTTAAATAAATTTTTATATATTATATTACGTTAAAAAACTTATATTTTAACTTTATATTCATAAATGATTTTATAATTTAAATTTTGTACATAAATTTAATGGAATGATACTTTTACGTGATATCAAACGTGTTGATGAACCTAAATATAAAAATTAAAGTATTGTATATATATATATATATATAATTTCATAAGAATTACATAAAATATTAATTGAATTTGAATTTATCCTCACATGATACTCAACTAACAAAAAAATTATGGGTCAAAATAGTTAGACCCAAATTTAATAATAATAGATTTATTATCAAAATGCTTTTATATAAAAATTATTAAAAATTAAAAGAGATTATTTGATTTAAATTTATGAATATTTGCATACATACCAAAGGTATTATTGCATTAAAACATTGAGAAGGTTTACAATTCATGACTTATTTATCATCATCTAAAAAAATAAATATTTTTAATTATTCATATATACAAACATCTCCTCATAAAAATCGGGAAAATGAAATTCCATACGCATACGAACTAGGATTCAATCCGGAGCCGGAAAAAAAATTACATACAGAGAGCGTACGCAGCTCTCCGATCACAGTCGCACATCAAAACTCATCCAAACAAAACCTGTACGACAGTGGGTCCCACTTTTATTAATTTTTTTTAAAAGAAGTTAAAAATGGATGGTTGTGATTGGAGACCGTACGCAGTTCTACGTACAGTATCCGTATGCAAATTTTTCTCCTAGAGCCGGCCGTCCAAAATACAATGCCACAGCAACTTTCCAAAATCAAATTTAAATATAAAAGTGGAACACCTTTTCATGCATAGATAAGGTGGCATACGTGTAAAATTAAAAAATTAATGCATAGATAAGATGACAAATACGTAAAAATTTGAAAATTAAATACGTAAATGCATGGGAATTGACTGGTAAGTACGTATGTAAATCCTCCTATTAAAAAAAAAAAAAAGATAGCTCCCTTACAAAAGAGTTTAATATATGCCAGCATTTTAACTAATATAGATAATTAATAATAAGAAAATACAGTACCATTCAGCCAAGACAGACTGAAATTAAGGCTTCGGATTATGAGACTAAAATTGAAATAATTTCACGATTTAAACAAATGCTCTCTAAATAATCTCATTTAAATAAATAACAATAACAAGAAAGAAAAAAAAAACATAAAGCAAATATCAGCTGTTACCTATCCTCCTATTACAAGCTTCCAGGTTTCTGGTTTCTCAATTACCTGCTGGTGAAACTGCAGGCGCCCTTCAGATAGCAGTTAACACAAACGATCTACGAGTAAATGTCTGGAACGGGCAGAAACAAAAGGCAGATCAGAAGAATGCTATTATTTAAGCAGACTTGGTCATTAAATAGTTCAAGAAAATTTACATACATAACATAATTTTCATGAATTTACATATCTAACACCAAAAGTTTAATGTTTATATTCATAACACTTTAATATTAAAAATATATGCATAAGAAGGAGTGCTGTGTTTATGTATTTCTTTATTTTTTGTATCACCGAGCTAAAGAACGAACTTCACAACCTAAGCATGGCAAACAAAAACATGAATCAATACCTTTCGGAAGTCAAGGCAATGGTCGACATTCTTGCAGTCGCAAGAGCTTCTCTAAAACGGCCTACCATCCGCTTATCATGCATTCAAAACCGCTATCCGTACCAACCATCATTCAATCTCTGTAGACAATCTCTACGCTTAACTGTGCAGCAAAGAAGTTAACCTAGCAAATGAAGCTATCAAGGAAACGACCAACACCACGGCCCTATTTGCACCTTGCAGACGCGGCAAAAACTGCACCGTCATATCCTCGACAAAAGGAAACATGAATGCATTCTCATCTCGCTCAAATCAACTCAACCCCAATTCCAACTGAAGCAACCGCCCATCTCCAGTATGTCAAATCTATCGCAAAATGCTGGTACTCTCACGACAAATCCTATCAAACCCCACCGACCTTGCTTACCAAAAATGCCGAGCCAACAGACAGCAAGTGGAATCTTGGTAGCAGTGCCACCAAGCATAAGACGGCTAAACTGAATCATATTCAACATGCCCAAGTCCACCAAGGAGATATCTCGGTTAGGAAAGGGCAGCAACTTCCCATGCCCAGATCGGGCAACGGATCCTACCAACTCCTCAATGTAAGCTCACCCTCGCTAACCTTCATCACATTCCAAATCTAGCGTACAATCTCATCTCTCCTCACAAATTAACCCAAGCTAATTCCTGCACTGTTACCTTCACATACGGTGGTAATCAAATTACTGATCTCAAGGCCAATAAGCCAATATTTAAAGGTCCATGTGTTCGAGGCCTCTATCCGGTGCATCATCCTCTCTCCTCGCAGCCACCTACAAATTTTGCCATCGCCTCCGTCTAACACACTCCACAGCTTTGGCATCAAAGAATTGGCCACCCATCGCTGAAAAAGCAATTCACCATAGCATCCAGATTTCCACTCTTATGCCTTCTCAGCAATTACATCGTTAACTCTTGTCATGTAGCTAAGAGCCATAAGTTCTCATTTTCAGTTCCTAGCTCTACGTCATCATTTCCACTTAAGTTGATTCATTCCAATGTATGTGGACCTTCTCCCACTCTATCTACACAACCTTATAAATACAACTTACTGTTTATTGATGACTTTACCCGTTATATTTGGATTTATCTTC